TTAGTGCTTTTAGATGTGTAGTAGCCCAAGTTCTTCTTGGCGGCCTTAAATTTAACATGTGAGCAAGACCCTGTTAAACAAGCATCTGAGTAACAAAAATAAAGCACAGCCTATGATACTTGCTAGTTTCACAATTTCTCTTTACGCTATGCTGCTGTATTTGGTGCCTGCAATTCTATATAGCAGAGGCTGGTGTACATATGAACGTGAAGGGCTACCACAGGTCTGCTTCTTTCACAAAAACAAAGGCAGAATTATAATTTTATAACCAGCTACTGAGCATCAGCCAACACTTTATATGCAACTGCTATGTTTACAAATTACGGAAAGCTGGGGGAGAAAAGGAGAGATAATTACATTTTTATTATGACTTGCATTACCTTAAGTTAATACACTTGTACTGCAAGCAAAACACAAGCATAGACTCATGACGTCAAGTTTCAGTGGAGCTCCTGCTACAGAACCACAGACACTATTTGCACATCTGTCTCATCCGGAAACCCAATCCCAAGAACCAAATTTAAGAACTAAGTCACAAGATCAGCAAAGGTTTTTAAGATCTCACTCTATGCCACTGAATGAAGAAATATACACTCTACCTGCGCACTGTGACAGTCACCGCCACTCCTACCTACTCTACACGCCTAAAGGGTAGCTGGCATGTATCTATTTACACCACAAAAAGCGTGCACTGTAGAGTTTAAAGGCTTGCTTTGGTAACTAAATCTTACTTGGACTCCCACCGCTCCAGACTTATAAATGGAAGTCCATAAACAGAAATTTAACACGCTCTATACAGAGTTCAAGTGTAACAGTTCACGTTTCATGCTTTTAAGTCAATGGATAAGTACGCATCTACCCTGAGGCAATGACTCCCCATCATTAAACACCAGCAGCTTTCCTAAGTAAGCACTATGCAGTTTTTAAGATGGCAATATATCAAAATTAGAGAACAGTAGGAGATCCCTCTGTTAATAAAAGCAAAAGAAATAATGAAGGTATCAATAGGATAAAGTAAAAAGCAAATTGTTAATTGTCCAATTTTTATGGTGTTCCAGTGTCTCTTGGCAGAGGAACTACAGATCATGATGACTTTAGAATGTAACCTTCCCTTCTGTAGCTTAAGGGCAGAACTACTCAGCATTCCTCAATTTATAATTTTATAGTGAATTTAAAAAAACCCCAATCTCTTTTTGCAGAACACCTTTTAAAGCTACTAACTAGACAGAGAAAAAGCCTTCTTGAAATTCTGTTGCTTCTCCAGATTTCTTATCTTATGGCAGCCTAGAAAAAGTTCTAGTTACACCTGTGATTTCCAATAGTTTAAAGCCTCAGTTTGTCTCTTCAAGAAGCAGAAGCAGCCGTTTTCTCACAAGCTGACATTTCCTCCAAGTCTCAGCACAAAAGCTTTGGTAAAGCCACCCCCAGCAGACAGAAGTCGGCATAGTCACCCGAGTTCTGACAAGGAGGTGCTCGACAGCTCTGGCAGACAGGGAGATCAGGCCTGAACGCAGCTGCGGCTGCTGCTGTGACGGTCACGTTAGGACACAGTAGTTGGTTTTGTCAAAGTTGGCTGAACACTGTAGTTAGGTCATGGGAGTAAGCCCATGAACTTAAAGTAGCATCCATCAGTTACCTCACAGACAAGCTGCTGCATGCTGCTGATAAAATAGATTCTGAGCATTCGCACAGTGCGCCACCTATGCTTTTAATAGAATGGAGTTAGGTGTGAAAGGGGCTACACCAGTGGTGCTTGAATCACTTCCACCAAGTAGCTGACTGTTTTGCTGTTTGTTTGGGGCTTTTAATTATTTCTATTTTATATTAACTATGACTATAGTTAGTATTAAGATGAGTTTGGACCCATTCACAAGCAGCAGGCTCAAAAGGGGCCTAGCTGCAGGGTGGCACGGAGAAGGTTATAGGGTAACTAGTTACATCTTTACCTAATGTCTTGAATGTTTTGCAGGCTGCTCAGATGCTAAGTAAAGCTTTGCTGCTAAGCAAGCACAAGCCTTCTGAGATAAAACTGCATGAGTTACATGGATACATTCCAAGCACTGATAGGTATACATACCTTGCTATACTAAGCAGCTAAAGGTCTCAGCATATATCCTGGAAGCACTTAAGATTGCTAAATCAGGTAGTTTACCAGGAGCTTTAGGATCCCTGAAAAAGAACAAGAAAATAACACACATACCCCCCAGGACTACCTTCAAGCAAAGACAATGACTATTGTAACGAAAGCCTAAAACATCAAGTGAAGTTCCACCTAACATTTCTGTGGTGGGTTGTCCCTAGCTGGACACCAGGTGCCTACCAAGGCTGCTCTATCACTCACCTCCTCAGCTGGACAGGGAGGCGGAGAAAATAACATGGAAAAAACCTCACGGGTCAAGATAAAGGCAGTTTAATAAAGCAAAAGCAAATGTTGTGCACAGAAGCAAAGAAAAACAAAAGATTTATTCTCTACTTCCCATCAGTAGGCAATGTCCAGCCACTTCCCATAAGACAAATGTCATAAATAAACGCCCCCACTTCCTCTTCCTTCCTCTCAGCTTTTTATTGCTGAGCAGACGTGATATGGTATGGGATATCCCTGTGGTCAGTTGGGGTCGGCTGTCCTGGCTGTGTCCCCTCCCAAGACCTTGCCCACCCCCAGCCTGCTGGTGAGGGGGCTGTTGGAGAGACACAGCCGTGGTGCTGTGCCAGCGCTGCTCAGCAGCACCCAAAACACCGGTGTGTTACCAACACCTTGCTGGTGCCTGTACGCAGCACAGCGCTGCGAGGGCTGCTGTGGGGAAATTAACCCCACCTCAGCCAGACCCAGTGCAATTTGCCTTGATGATACTTTTCAGATCTTTCCTGTAAGCGACACCAGACACCAGCAGACACCCTTGCAGCTACAAGATCAAGCCTGTTAGGCACTCAGTCCCAAGAGGATTTAGGCCATCCTGATCAATCTTCTTCTGTGAAGCACTGAGAAGGAACAGAACTCATACATCTCCTGAGGCAGGATCTCTGCTCACCTTCAGCTGAGAGCTAGAAGCTGCTGCAGTCTCTCACAACGTCTAGAATTATATTTATTGACCACAGGTGTAAGAGAAATACAACTTGTGCTCTCTGACTTGCACGGAAGGTAAATCCTAGCATGACTGCTGTTCTGCCTAGCAATTTCCTAAAGGATTTTCAAGTACCAGGAAAGCCTGTTGAAATGATTGTCTACTTGAGCCAAAGATGTGGAAGACATTGTTGGTGGCAGGCTAACTAAAAAAGAATAGGTCTCAAAGTCATCCTCTTACTCCAAGTTCCCTTTTGCTTTTTCTTAATACAAGTGACCAAGATAGTATCAAGTAACTACTAAGGAGCAAGATAAAGTAGTTATTCACTGTGAATTACCACTATCTTAAAGGGATTTATTTCAACAAACATAACCACATGTGATGAAAATAAGTGAAAAGTAAATGCTTCATTTTGCCTTGCCTAGTTCCAGTAATGCCCAAATCAGTTTTGGAAGTCCTGAAAGTCTGTTTTGAAAGTGTGTTTTGTTTTAAATAACCCAAAGATTTCTGCTATGGAAAAAAAATAATGTATACATTTTTATGTTACGTTTATAACAAGGCTTTGAAAGAAAATAGTTACAGGTATTCAACTGCATCGGACTTCAAAAGAAAAAAGATTACACACACAATACAAAAATACAAAAAAATATTTCTTAGAACTTACAAACTCAAAAGTCTAAGTGGTCAGAGTTTTCCTAAAATAAAATAATAAAAAAAAAACCACTTAAAGATGCACTTTCCTTTCTGCACTTGCAGGTTCAACTTTAGCATAAAGAAAGGTTTTAGAGGCAGGATGAAAACAATTAACATACTGAATTCTACAACCTGTTCCAGGCTGAAGTTAATTCAGTGGTTGACACTATCAGGTATCTGAGTTTAAAAAGAACCTTACATTTAGTATGGGTGTGTGTGGGGGGGTGTGTTACTGTTGATAACTTTTTGTTTAACCAGTTCTGCTAGTAAAATGTTTTAAAAATATACAATCTGAATTAGACTGCAATTTAAACAGTCCTTACTAGGTTTGAAATCCTACAGCACTGTTCTGCAGTATGAAAGTGAGGAAATTAAATTGACCTGACTAATGTCCTTGCTGAAAATTACAGCAAGAGGCAGACAGGTAGGAAAAGGTCAAGTTTTATTTCTGAAGTTGACTCTTGTTAGAAGCATTAGGACTGAAAATATAGGATTCGTCTTTAACCTGATAGTGTCCACTGAGGTCACAGGCATCAAGGCATTTTGTTTTAAATGACAAGACAGGGAAAGCGCATCTTACATTTTTCATACTTAAGCAGTGAGTTACCGATTTTTGGTGTGGCTTTTATTCCTTCTAGGCATAGTAAAGAAAAGTATTTCAACCAAATGTGAAGCTTAATGTACATTAGCTTGTCTTTTTTGGTGGTGGCTTTTGTGTACCACAAGGAATGCTAACAAGCACTACTCAAGGCTAATGATTTAAGAGGAGCACACTGAAAATATTGATTTACCTTTGTAGTGAGTATTCTTTACAGACTGTATCTAATATACAGACAAGGCCCATTTCCTTAGGATGAAACAGGCCACAGAAGGTTACACATCCTACATGAAGTTTTAAACAAGATTAGAGCTAAGTTACCAGAGCCACTCAGAGCAGCATAATTTCTAGTTTGCAGAGACTTAACAAAACGTGACTGCAGGGAGAAAAAAAATAAAAATATCCAGGTTCTTATTATTTCCTGCATAAGTTTATATTCAAATGAATAGTCCAGTCACACTTCTAGCACAAGACAATGCTTACTTTCTTTAGCAGTATTCCTAGGAGTCAACTGTTTCTCCTGTTACACAGAGGGAGCCAGAAGTGAGAATGCGAGAGCATTCAATGTTAACCTGATTAAAGAGACAGTAACCTTTTTCATCCACCTTAATCACTGACCAAAAAAAAAAAAAAATCTTAAAAAGGTACCACTCCAATTTCTTTATTATCTGTAACCTTTTGAAACTAATCACATGGAACTACAAAATTAGCAAATGCCTTGAAATCTGTATACAAAACATAAATTACCTCTAATTTCAAACTCAGTTATTAGTGTACCACTCAAAATCTTAAAAAAGTGGCTCCAAAGATAGTCTTACACCATTCTTAAAAAAGGAAACTGTTCCTTTAATGTTACACCCTCCCCTCCCCCCAAACACCCAACTCTCAATCCACATCATTTAGTTATTTTCTTGGTCATGGACATTTCCAAGATGAGATTTTATATTTCGTTCCCATAGCTTCTGGTTGTCAGAAAAACCATGCTTTCCTTTATTGAAGGAATTTGGTCCTGCTGAGGTTGGTGTATCCCTGTGAAAAGTAAAACAAGATCAGTTGAGAAAATCAGTTCAACTGTAGTAGTCTGTGCAACATGACACCGAAAACATCAATTTCAAGTCCAACACGCTGCCAGAAACTACGACGCTTTTTTTTCTTTCCATGACATCAGGAGTCCTCATTATTTGCAAATGAAAGTTGGCCACAGAACTGATCTCTCTGCAGCAGGTCAAGACAGAGCAATGAGCTGGGGCAGCAGAGGAGGTGGGAGTGACAGTAACAGCTGCTGGCTGTGAAGAATTTGTTGCAATGGCTACAAAATTGAGGATTCAAATTTGCTACTGGAGAAAAAACTGCACTGAACAGTAAAGAGCTTCCAGGGGACTGACTTTAAAAGCAGTCTATCATGATAAACATCTTTAAAATATATATGCTCAAAATTGATCCCTAACTTAAGTGAAGCCTCCTTTGAAAATGTCCCTATTTATTTCAGGATTGGCCCAATACTCAAATTTGTGTCAAGCAAAAGACTTATATACATTTGTTTTAAAAGTAAATAAGCTATTCTTTGTCTCTCTGCAAGAGATGATTCTCATCTTCCCCTTGCATGGAAGTTTAAAAATCTGAGCAGACTACCCTACTTCAGGGCAATTTATAAAATGGAGAACTAGAAAGAGAGAGAGTTTAGCAGCAAGCAGGAACTCCCACTTACTACCTTCTGAAAAAGCTAGCTAGCTTCTGTTTCATATAGAACCAATTTCTTCCTCAGAAGGTGGCAAATAAGATTCAAAATGCAAAAGAAAATGTACTATTAATGAACAGGCGAAACATTAGGAAATAACTATATTAAAATTTTCTTGTTTCAGGAGAAAAACTTTTTGAACCTATTCTATATTCCTCTATTTCTAAACCATCTGCAAGATCTGACCTGTGCTCGAGAAGGTATTTTCATGCACTCACCCTTCTCCAAACCATAGTTAAAAGCTGACCTACCTTCCAATGTTCTTCATGCGCATCTTGGCTTCTGGAGGCATTTCTTCTGGTTCACTCTACAGAAAGAAAGGAGGTTAGAGTGTGGCTGGCTGCTATATTTTGAATATTTCAAATGCCTGACAAGATACAGTATGGACTACAGCCCTACAGGAAAGCAAAGTGGCTGAGGACAAAACAGAGGTCCTACAAGGTTATAGAAAGCAATACAAATTCCTTTGTTCACCTCTGTGTAAGATGGAGCAGTAACAACACAACAATTAAATATTTAGCAAAGTGGAAGAAGCACAACTTTTCTTCGCCTCTCCTTTATCAAGCCCAGAGAAAGCAATCATTAATTTAAATTATGTTGTGCATCTCATTTTCAGGGAAATTTGTCAACACTTCAATGATCTCTTGAACCAACACAAAGCTACAAAGTTTTACATTCTGATACAGAAACACAAGAGATGTTTCTAGGTTGAAAAATCCTGACATTATATAAAGAACCTTAAACGACCCACTCACTCTACCTAATTCTAACCCATAATGGTACTTTAAGTCATGTTGATTGCTAGCTTATTACTCACATCTTCATCTTCATTGAAAGCTGCTGCTACGGAAAGAGTTTTTGGAGCAAGGGTTGGAACAGGCTCTTTAGGCTTCTGAAAAAGACCAAATGCACAAGTAAGGTAAGTCTACTAACTCAAAAAAAGCTACCCTTGATATTTTAAATATTTTAGTAAAATGAAGTCAAAGATCTTCACTGAAATGGGCAACAAGGGGTAAAAGTGGTTTTGGTTGAATCAAGCAGATAAAGGTTTCTCTCTAATGAAAACAGAAAATGGCTGCTCATTTGCACTAGAGACACCGAAAAGCAAGCTGAGCCCTCTCACATTACAATTCCCCACAAGCAAGTCTTAACTTTCTAGCACACTGCAGGGGTACGCAGCCACTGGTGCGTGACATGAACAATTAAATCAAAACCTGAATAAGTTGTATTCAAAATTTTACTATGTCACCGTTTCCATTATTTTTTTGAGTATTCTTATCCATCAGTGCCAGGAAGATGAGTCCATCTATTTTCTTGTCTTTTAACAACATAACAGCTTTCTGGCTTAAAATAATTCAATACTTTATAACTAGCATCAGTGTGCATGACACAGTCTGACTAATATCAGGCTCCTTTAAAAGGTATTTGATTTCCAATAAATACCTTCCTCTATTTAAAGCATAAGAAGATATCAAACTCATGATTATCACATTTAATACAGCAGACATATCAAAAGTAATGTCAAGACCACTAAGAAAGCATTGAGTCAGCAGTAACAGTTTGCTTCTACAGTACTACCAATTATCTAAATCAACTATGTACAATGCTCCATCCATTTTGACTTCATCAATGATTATTTCATAGACACTCACAGTTTTTGAATCTGATACTGCAGCAGAGTCTTTATGTGATTGCCTACAGCTATTTCTCACCAATAGTGTACAACATATAAATATTCTGCCATTTTTTGAAGCATCAGCTCCACAGGAATGGGTAACATACTAAGGGAGTAAAAATGACTAAAAAGAAACAGGGTAAGATGCAGCACTGTCCAATCTGGAACACTGTCAGTCACCCACTAAATTCAGTGAGCCAGAAATCCTGTGCCAAATTTATTGCCACTGGAAGTATCTTTCTACATGAGAAATCGGAGCTTGCTAGTGGCTCAGAGAAGGCAGCTTTGTCAATTTTTCCAAAGTCTGAGCTGACTTGATTGCATTTATACCCTAGAATGCTGCCAACCCACATCTCCCTCCAATCTCAAAATAACAGAGCGCTCTTCTCATCTTCTGCAGATCTGTAAAATGCTGGCATTGCAGGTGCAAGCCTTTCATGATTACAGTTTGAATTTAAACCAGACAGGGACTTATAATGTATCCACCACAGTGGGACGTGGGAAGTGTAAATGAACCGTATTAAATAGAGAGGCAGCATCTAGCTTGTCCTTGCCCAAGCTAGTAGAGGATTACTTTGGTAGTAAAGAGAAGCATCAGATTCACATCTGAACAAGCACAAGGATACCTTGTACTGGACAATAAAGGGGATCAAAATTCTTAGTAACCTGTGTAACAAAGCATATAGTATAAATGAGTCATACTGACCTTGCAAAGAACAGGCAAAGTCATTGAAAAATAAACTATAGTTCCCCGTGCTAAAATAAGATCTTTGGAGTGGAAGACGACCCATTAAGCCATCTAGGAGAGTACTTGCTTTTTTGTAGCTTTAAGCATCCTATGCAATGAAGCTCCCAGCATTCATTTCAAAGTAGCCTGAACAGTTTAACAACTCTGTTCATTTCCCTCAGGAAATTACTCCAGACTTATCAAATCTCATTACAAAATTATTCTGTATGTTCAAAGATCTACAGCTCATTTCAATCAAGTCTTATGCTTCCTGAGACAACTGACCTAGTATTAATCACCTTGAAGTACTTACATTTGCATGACTAGCTGGCCCTGCAATGCTTTCTTAAACTTTATCCAAGTTCCACACATCTAATTCAAGGTTTTCCTTCTGCAGGGAAACCTCCCCAAAGTATTTCCCCTTTGCCTCACTTTCCTTAAAATTAAAAGCCCTCAGACAACTTACATTTGCTCCTAGTTTGATGGATATTGCAGATGCCTTCTTTGCTGTCTGACTGCCTATGGAAAATCCAAACTTGGACATTTTGGCAGGAGCAGGCTTTGTGGTGAAGTCTTCAGCTTCTTCATTAGCTGCCCGTTTCTCTGCACTGCGACTCGAACTTTCTCCTCCATTACTGGAAGAAACAGTCTTAGTTTTCACAGGTTTTTCTGCCTCTTCTTCAGGTCCTGGTGAAGTCGAAACAACTTACCAAGATGAGCTATTTTTACTGAGCAGATTGATGGGAGCAGCAACCTCAAAAAGCATTATACTTTGGGTGCAATAGGTAAGGTGTTTTTAGTGACAGCAGTTTCCACCAACGTACATTTAGTAGACAGCAAAACACAAAGAGGAGAAGAAACTGCAAGCACTCCACTACTTGTAAAGAACTTCTTGTGTATGAGCCAGGAAAACAATCTTGAAGCACCATCTCTTTATTTAGTATGGAAGTCAAAGTTCACGTAGTAAATTAAATGTAGATCACTAAATCTTTTTAGGGTTTAAATTGCTATAGATAAGCTTTCATAATTGGAATCCCAATTCCAAATCTAGAGTAGATAATCTAAGTTAAAATTAATTCTACTAAATTTCTACAAAAACATGTCCATGCCAGTCTCTAGGCTCGTCTGGCACAACTCTAAAATCATGGAAGTGACTACAGTGAGGATGGCTGTCTCAATCACGTTTCAAGTCACTGCTTGTCCGCATCTCATCTGTAATAAATCTGCCAAGCTCTACTTGAGGAAGAAATCAGCACTAGAAAAACATATATATAAATTTCATCTTTTCTGGTTTTGTATAAAGTCATGGAAAACACAGCAGCCGAACAATGATCCACAGAGAAAAACCACTCAAATCGCATTTTCATTCCTATACACTCGGCTTCTTCAGCTACACCAAGAGACAAAGGTGTCCTTGGAAAACTCATACTGAGCATAGTAAATGTTTCAGCAAAAATACATTTCTCTGCTGCTGCAATAAGCAAATCACTGCAGTAACAGAAAGAAAGAAAGAAAAAAAACCAGACAACACACCTCATGCATTGGGGAGTGGACAGAGTGGACAGCAAAGTGCTCACACTATCAGTCTAAGAAAAACTGGAGCTAGCACCAGTTCCTCATTATATCAAGTGGAGAACAGGACCCTCCGTGCACAGCAAATTCAGATCATCAGGGAAGAAAGTTCTTTGCACTGCTCTCTAACAGAAAAAAGCTATTAAGTAAAATAGAGCAGTGGGAGAGAAGCTAGTCTGAACTGGAGGTCAACAAGATTGTAGCTCTTAGAAAAAAAAGGAAGCGAACAACATCAGGAGAAAGAAAAACTAGGGACACCTTCTATATATATTTTTCTGCTATTTCCCAAATCATGAACAGCAGAACATATTCTTTCTACCCCACTCTTCTAGCTATCAAGATAAGAAGTGATTGGAACAAAAATGGATTTATTATTCACCTTTGGAAACATGGCAGATCACAAAAAAAAAAAAAAATCAGTAACTTTAATCAATTTCACTCTGTTAAAAAATGGTACTAATATGCACCACTAGAAATTTGACCCAGAAAGTAAAGATATAAGAGTGACAAATAAAGGAGGAAAGAGAAACAAGCAAAATTTACACAAGTGACCTTGGGTACTGGTTGCTGTCTTAGCACAGTTTTCCAAACAGCTGTCTTCAAGGCTATGAGAAGCTCTTTACAGCTAGTTCATTAAGCAGAATATTCAATTACAAGTCCAGTTTAGGTACGCTATAGACTGTGAGGTGATTCGAGGGTAAGTAGGAAATTCATTGGCCTTAAAAGTATTGGAACTGTAGGCCTAAAGTCATCTTTTTCACTAGATACAAAATCCGCAGCAGCCCAAATCTCAGGGCACACTGAACCAGTCCAGGTTCCTAAGCTAATGCTAGCTCAAAGCTAATTGCACTATGGCTTGCTTCTTTGACTGCAAATTCTAGTCTAAGCACAAGATAAAGCCTAACACAATCTACCCACATCTGTTTTCTCACCAAAATATTCAATAGCTTCTCTCTCAATATTAGTTCCTATCACCACTGCTTTCTGAATGTTACTTCTACTAGACTCCACTTAGGATGAACTGTAGACTGCTGAAAGAAACACTCTCACTTGCTGAAGGAGCTATAAAGGGCATAGGACAACTGGGCTAGATGGGGAGGGAGCCATTGTGCTGTTCTATTTCTGCACGAAATAGTTAGAAATACAGACATATATTATCCACTAAACAGGTCTCTCCCATCTCCCATGCCAATGCTTATATATTTTTCAAGATACTAAGGCTTCTTTATTATTTCCCAGAGATCTCAAGGAGGTCATACTTCACTTACAGAAAGCACCAATACTACTTTGAAAATTAGCCTGACCAGTGCTCTTTTCATGGATCATAGTAATAAAAAGCTGTCCTACTTCCCAGATGAGTTTTTCTCATGAGTATCAACAAGCTACGTAAGTGAACAACTTCCACTACTAGTTGGTTTAAATGACGAGACTGACAGTGCTAATTGTACAGTATTTCAGGATCTCTTGCCCATTGGGGCGTGACCACTGGTGGCAGTGGTGTGAACAAACCATTCACAACTAAGTTAACTTTAAGGTAAACCCCACTGATCTTGGCAAAAGCTAAAGACCAAATTGCTGTCAAAAATCATCAGGGATTAATCACCTTCCTTAGGGCCAATGTACCATAACTCATTAAGATCATGTTCCAGTACATAAGATGGTATGGATAACTGACATACTGATGCTGTCCAGTTACTGTATTACTAACTAAAAAAAAACCCAACCTCAAAAACCCAACAAAACCAACAGAGAACTAAGAGTCAAGGAACTACATAAAATCATGTATTACTGTTCATATTTTGTGATTGTCAGAAATAACATTCACTGCTGAGGTTATTCTAACTGGTTTACAAGCTTGATTTAATCTTTCAACAGATCAAATAAACCCCCTCTGCCTATAGATATACTTAAACCAAAAAGAAAAAAAAAAAAAACCACAAAAAAACCAACCAAAACCAACCAAACCAGGAAATGGAAGCTTTGTATTTGCAAAGACACTATCATCTCAAATTTAAGTCAGGAGGGAAAAAAAAAAAAAGAAGAAACACAGGATTAAAAAATTTAGGAAAACTGATTAAGTAGTACAGAAGATGACAGGAATATCCAAGTCATAATATAAATAATATAAAACCAAACACAAAACTTGCAAATTGCTGTCAAGCAAAAAACCCAGGATGATTAAAACAGCAGATAAGGAATATTCACAGTACCCGTTCTTGAAAAGGTAGCACAGCTGTTAAAAGCTAATCTTTAAGGTGTTTTCTTCATCCTTGCCAACAGCAACAGTCAAATTTCTCTCATTACACGGCAGAACTATTCCGTGTACTTTTTAGAGAGAGAAATAACGCATTTACATGAACAAGGAGAAGCTGTTAGATTTTTTTTTAAAAAAAACTCCTCTAAGGCTGAGGCTAACCCTCGGGCGTGAGGGCAGCGGGCCCAGACC